TTGGCTAAAAACCTAGATTTTTCAATAATACACCACAAAATCAGAAATCCATATGTGTGGAGATTGCCTACATTTTTTACTGATAACAATGTGGTGTAGCCTATTTTTATTACTACAAAGACACTCTAAAATCATTTAATCAACTTAAAAGTGTAGTTATAGGCCTGATATTAGTCATCAATCAATTTTTAACAGACCAATGAAAAAGCCACTGTTTAACAGACTGAATATTCCAGAGAGCTGCTTGATGCTTTCAAGGTACATCTCATTCTGACTAATAATAGCCAGTTGTCAAGCAGGAAAGATTACAAGCAATTTTGCTACCAAGGCTTCTTCTCACTGAGACTTTTATTTTATTTTATTTTATTTTATTTTATTGAGTTATAGTCAGTTTACAATGTTGTGTCAACTTCCCGTGTAGAGCACAATTTTTCAGTTATACCTGAACAAACAACATTCATTGTCACATTCTTTTTTACCATGAGCTACTACAAAATCTTGCATATATTTCCCTGTGCTATACAATATAATCTTGTTTATCTACTCTATATATACCTGTCAGTATCTACAAATTTCAAACTCAGTCTGTCCCTTTCCACCCCCCTCCCCTCTGGCAACCACAAGTTTGTATTCTATGTCTGTGAGTCTGTTTCTGTTTTGTATCTATGTTCATTTGTCTTCTTCTTTTCTTCTTCTTTTTTTTTTTTTTTTTAGATTCCACATATGAGCGATTTCATATTGTGTTTTTCTTTCTCTTTCTGGCTTATGTCACTTAAAATGACATCCTCCAGGGACATCCATGTTGCTGCAAATGGCGTTATGCTGTCGTTTTTATGGCTGAATAGTATTCCATTGCATAAATATACCACATCTTTATCCAGTCACCTGTCAATGGATATTTAGGCTGTTTCCATGTCTTGGCTGTTGTAAATAGTGCTGCTTTGAACACTGGGGTGCAGGTGTCTTTTTGAGGTAGGGTTCCTTCTGGATATATGCCCAGGAGCGGAATTACTGGGTCATATGGTAAGTCTATTCCTAGTCACTGAGACATTTTTAATTGTGATATTTCAAACATTTTAAAAGAACTACAGTTACTGTCTCCTTGCTATAGAGACTCTGCAAAATAGAGACCCACAGGGGACAGTGCAGCCCTTAACAGAGGCCGTGACTCTTGCCAATCCACAGAGAGGGGGCAATGAAGCCTTTAAATGCCCCTCTCTTACAGCTAACCCTAGACAGCCTTCCGTCTGGGTGCATTTTCATCTGGTACAGCTGTTTTAGGAGAGATGTTGTTTATAGACATTAAGGTTTATGTGGCTCCAATGGATTTCCATTAGAATTTTTCTCCCTTTTTCTGTGTTACATCAATGTTTGTTAAAGTGAGAGACCAGGATGGCTAGTTTTCTACTGTATCAGCCATGGGGCAGTCAAAGCTCATTTTGATGACCATGTGATTCTGATGGAGGGTTTTTTAATTATAGGGGGGTAGGACCACATCCTCCTACCTCAACATTCTAATCTAGGAGTGGAGAGATACCTCCCCACCCTGACCTCTTTACCTTTGTCATCTCACTGTTCCTACCAAGTCTGACAAATGAAGGAATAAGTGGTTATTTTCACATATTCTAGGATTTTGAAACAATGAAAAGCCAAATAGCAAGTAATTCCCATAGGCTTCCCATAAGTCTTGACACAATTTAACACTGCGAGGTTGCAGTGATAAACAAATTGGATCAAATTAGGTCTGTTTGGGGTCAAGCAGTATGTGTAATGAAAGGAAGGTTAAAGGCAGACAGACCTGGATCCAGAGCCTGGTTCTTCCCAGTCACTGGCTTCGTGATCTCGGACGAGTTACTTCATCATTCTGAGCCTTCGTTTGCATCCATAAAGTAGAGTTAATGATACCTATTTCACTGAGCTGTTGTCACGATTAATTAAGCAGTGTATGTAAGCTCCTACCTCCGAGCTCGGCGTACAGTAGGTGATGGCGGTGGCGTGGCCATCATTCGGGCATTTACAGATACTGCTTGTGGGGCAGCACTCTGCTGGGCCTGAAGTCGCAACAGGAACAAGGCCCAGTCTCTGTCTGCAGGGAGTCTTCAGTCAGATGGGATTGGTCAAGGTGTTGTCCCCGGGAAAACAGTAGGGGGCAAATAGACTGACTCCTGGCTGCACCTCCCACACGAAGATGCCAGCAGTGCCCTTGATGGTCCTGGCGTTTGCCCCAGAATTCCTCTTGCAAGAGGAGAAACCAGTATTTGTTGATTGCTTACTATGTGACAGGCACCGTGATTTCAACACTGTCTTACTTCCCCCTTTTAACAGCCCTAAAAAATCGCTGCTGTTATTCACATTTTACAGATGGCCAAGGTCATTTAACTAAGTAAGTGACAGGCCAAGGTTCAAACCCACGTCAGTCTGCCTTCAAATGTCTGTCACCTTCCGCTCTGTCACACTCCCACTCTTGCAGCTGTCAGACAACGTGGGACTGTCACACGGAGAGCACTGTTGAAGTAAGCCTTTGTCCTACAAGGCCAGCACGAGAAGGCGTGTTCTAGGCTGGGGAAGGAGGAGGGGGTTTTGACGGGGCTTCAGCAGGAGGGGTCAGCTGAAGGGTAGCTTGTGTCAGGAACAGCTGGTCAAAGACAAATTCTTACAGATTAGCAACCACTTTGGGGCAACCTGGATTCCTCAAGGTGGGTGGGGAGGAAATCAGGGGCTGAGGTCATGAGCAAGAGGGTGAGGAGGACCAGCTCCCAGGGACGAGGACAGGCGAGGCTGCGAGGGCTAAGCAGAATGTTTTTGGTCCCTCGGGGTCTCTTACACCAATATCTGGGTTTCTTCTTAACCCAGATGCAAAGCTTCAAAATTGAGGATTTTGCCATGGCAGAATGTGTCTGGAAGGATGGATTCTGTGCTGTAGGATTGTGTGGTGTTACCACCAATGTGTTGTTTGCAGTCATGATGCTTAATGAGAAAAGTCCTGACCCTGAAGCTGGAAAACATGGACAGTCACTTCCCCTGCCCAAGCCTGTTCCCTTTCTGCGCTTAGTATGAGATGGTGTGAACGTGGTTGGTAGAAACGCACTAGTTAAATATTAAGTACAGTGCTAATATCACTAATATTGCATGGGCTAAGATTCCTGTAGTAGGGAGATTATGAACTGCCTGATGTATTTCATCAGAAGAGGAGAAAGCTTGAGGGTCGATCAGATGCAGAAAGAGGTAGAAACTGATTACAGGGAAAAACCTCTCAGCAGAGGGACTGGTATTTGACCCCTCTTAGGAAGGATCTGATGCCAGCTAATTTCTCTCTTACTTTCTTGATAAATTAGGAGAATTCAAAGTGCTGAGTGAAAAGATAACCCTTTTAAAGACCCCTGGGAGATGGATTACTTTGTTTCAATTGTGGTTGAGGTCGACTCATATAAAAGGGATTCTGGTGGCAGCATTACAGAGAAACGCGGAGCCATCTGGTGTGTAACTAAACCAGGGTATATTACTTATTTACGGAGAGTATATATTTGAAGTCCTTCTGTGCTTGATTTCCTATTCTCTGCATTGTAAATTCTCACTTTGGACAACTAAGAGGGCGTATCAGCAGTGTCAGGAGTCGGTGTGCACTGGAATCCACTATTTGTAAATTATCAAGGATCAGGACTGGTGACAAGCTCTCTTGTAGCCGTCTTGAGCTATCGTGGAGCTGCACTCAGTGTTCTTCAGAGATAACTTTTGTATGAAACTTTTGGATTGTTAGAGAGTCTGTATTTAACTGTGGGCTGTCACCTCTCCCAGAGTCCTTAGACTGTGAGGACAACACAGTGTAGTATTGCAGACCCCCTGCAAGTGTGGGAGAGTTTGTGCAAAACACATGAGAGACATTACCATCTAGCCTTGTCTGTGCACAGATTATTTAGCTCCATCAACTTTGATACCACCGCCTATGCCCTATACCAAGAATTTAAAGTGGACATGAAACACCATAATTTTTTTCCACTGAATTTTAAGCGAGGTGCTAGGAGCAAAAAGTTGAAGAGTTATTTTAGCTACATAGAACCTAGAAGCATCTGTGGAAGTTGCTTTGGGGATGAATTCACTAAACTAAAATATTCCTGATCTGTAAATGAAGAACTACTATGTTTAAATTACTGTAAGTGTACTTAATTATAATCAAATTCACCCTAAATAAAAGCAGTGCGACTCCACGTGCATCTTAATGCAGTTAGTTTTTAGAAATTAGGATCACAGCATCAAACTTCATTTTCATTTTTGGCTTTTAAACACATTTCTTTGAAGGCTACCTTAACTCTACTATTGTTTTGTTCCCAAAAAAGATTTTGATTTTTCACATTGAACAGTTAAATTTTTCATAATTAAACAGACTGACTTTTGAATTTCCCAAATCCATTATTTATAAAAGTTTGGGTTTTGTATGGATGAAAATCTGGTCAGGTCTTTATTAAATAAACGTAAATTTTCCATGCGGTGGATTTCCTTCGAAAGGTTCCAAGCCCAGATGATCTTCCCAGGGAGGCTGGCATATTCTGAATTGCTGCTTCTGTCGTCACATGGGACATAATCAGGGAGGTCATATTCATGTCAGAAGAGTTTAAATGAAGGTTAGAAAGGAAAGCAAATTTCCTGAATTAAAGTATAAAGAACTTTATAATGATGGATCGAGTTTACAACCCACTATTAACTAAGAGTTTAATTTCAGAACAAACATCAGCTCTAGAAAACTAGTAAATTAATTATATTCTACTCTATTTGTTTAATCTCCGAAGTATGTGATTTCATCATTAGTAAATAAAAATGTGTGCATCTCCACAAATATGTTTGAATTTCCTTAAATGCTGCATTTCACAGCAGCCCTCCAAACTTAGCAAATACTGTCATTGTCTTCAGTTCTGATCAAGGCAGAAAATCCCAACCAACAGCCAGCCTTAGAGAATGAGACTGTAATTCACTCACTTATAAATCGTAGTCACTGGTGTTATCCAGTGTGAACTTTATATTTCCTGTGAATGTAATCGCACCAAAGTTCAGTCTCAGGAGTCATATTTTATGCAGAAAAAAATATAAAAACCAAATTGAAAATTTTTCCAGAAAATACTTCAGAATAATGTGTTGTCTTGCATTCCTGATTATGCATTTCTAAATATAATAAAGCATAGGTTCATTTGACTGTCAATAGCTGTAAATCTAAAAATACATTTCTTCTATTAGGTTGTTTACTATGTCATTGGCTGATCTACCAGAAACAAATCTAGACAGACATTTCCCCAGTGTGGCCTTAGAAAACGGCAGGAGGTCTGCACAGTCCAGGAGGAACAGCCCCAGTTTTCAAAGAAACAGTAACGCTTCGGATAAGAGTGTTGATTATAGCAGGTCTCAGTGTTCCTGCAGAAGTTTAAGTTCTCAGTACGATTATTCAGAAGACTTTCTCTCTGAATATTCAGAAACAGCTGTTACTAAAAATTATTTAGAGAAGCTTGTAGTAAAAGAAAAAAAGGAGGAGAAGAAAAACTATAATGTGTCTAAAATCTCCCAGCCTACAGGTAAGAAGCAAAATTTCCCAACCAAGACCAAATTTCTGGTTATAATCACATTGTTATTTAAAGCACTAGTATTTGCAGTGGTCCATATTCAGTTTTACTGTTTTCCTAGATTGAAAATGTGTGTTATAAGTGAATGTTTATGGAAGGAATGAGGAAATAGAGAAATTAAGGATAATTACAAAAGAATGGAAAGCTAGGCTCAGAATGTAGCGCCTAGCCCCCGGCACGACTTCCCGTCCTGCAGCCTACTAGCGAGGTTGGTTCCGTTTTCAGGTACCGCAGTACCTGGATTTCACTGGGGTTTTGCCCTTCCTCTCAGCTGAAGGATCAAGGTTTGCATCGCCAATGAAATGTAAATATCTGTCTCAACAGCCCAGGAAGATGGTCTTCAAGTCCGGTGAGGCATATTGGCAAAGACAGTCTTTAGAAAGAGAGTTGGTTCAAAAGGCTGTTAATAATGTCATTTCCTTGTGGATTTTAAAAGTGCCAACACCATCAGCTCCTAATGGTCCAAACTGGGATGGGCTGTGTGATCTCCTCAATCTGCTCGCTCCCTGACCTCCTGCCCGGACTGTGATTCCTCACACGTGGGCAATCCTAGGCTTGTAAATAACCCCTGTGTAGAGATAGCTGGAACTCTTTTCCCACTATGACCATCAGAACTGCCCTTAGTCTCCAGGTGGGAAATAAGAGCCTCCTCTCTGCGGGGCACATCTACTGTCAGGTTTACCCAGAGCCTGTCTCCCACCCCCAGCCTGCGATGACCAGCTGTGCCTGGGACCCCCTGTGCTACTGCTGGACCACCTGGACTCTCCAGTTCCCCTTCTTCCTAGTTACAGAGCAAGGACTCCTAATCTAAGACCCATGTCTGGGGACCCCAGGAAATCCTTTGCATTTTTTGTCTCTGTTTGCATTTGTGAACTTTTCTAGGGAGAAGGACCCATAGTTTCCATCCAAATTCTCAAAAAGTTAACAGACCTTAATCTCCAGAGGTGGAAGTCCCACGGAAGAGTCTGTTAGAAGTCTGTCTGGCCGTTTGTAGAGATTATCACAACAGGACATACATCGTGCACAGTTAGATTCCACAGTTTGAATCCCTTATCTGCATTTGAAATTTACAAAGCTCTGAAAACCAAACGTCTTTCATATCTTTGGCACCAACTGATTTGGCAAAAAACCTAATTTGAACTGACGTGAAACTGATCTTTATTTATTTCACTTAGCATGAAATAAAGTCATATATTTCACCACAGAAATCACCTCTGATGAAAGTACGCTGTCGCCAACCCTGCTGGGAGTACTATGGAAACACTATAGGTGCACCACAAAAACTAAACCCCCCAAAATTCAGGAACGCTCTGGCCCAGGGATTCATGACAAGGGCTCATCCAACAATGTATTACATCTTCTACTGAGTCTAGACTCTCGGCTGTGATTTATAATAGAAATAAATACAGGTTTTAGTGTCAGAGAAGACCTTACTTTCCATTGGTTTTATGTCACTTTGTGGTTGGTTATGTAACCTTGGACAAATGACTTATCATCTCTAGCTGTAAAATGGACTACTACTGACCCTACAGAACTGTATGAAATGAGACAGCTAAATACAAATACCAGGCCTAAAGCACGGGTATTCATTAAATGCTAGGTCCTTCCCCTTCCAGCTGGCGTGTGTCCGTGTGTATGTGAGTGGGGGTGGGGGGGCATTACACATACGTGTGTATTTACGAACCTACATATCTATAGACAGATCACTAGTAACTGGGTTATCTGCTCACACAGGCCAGCAGGAAATCTCAGCCGAAAAAAAGCACAACGGGAATGCTGCCTTTTTTAATTCTCAAATCAATATGGTTATGCAGAGAAGAGATGCTATGACTCACCGCGTACTCTCAGCAAGACTTCATAAGATTAAAGAACTGAGAAACGAATTAGCTGATCTACACCGCAATCTGGAAGCCACAGCCATAGAAAACCAGTTTCTGAAACAACTTCAGTTTAGGCACTTGAAAGCGATAGGAAAATACGAGAATTCACAAAATAATCTACCTCAAATTATGGTTAAACATCAGAATGAAGTAAAAAATTTAAGGCAGCTACTTAGGAAATCCCAGGGAAAGGAGAGAACTGTGTCTAGGAAACTTAGAGAAACAGACAGCGAGCTGTTGAAGACGAAAGATGCCTTGCAGGCCCTGCAGAAGCTTTCTGAAGACAAAAACCTTGCAGAGAGGGACGAACTTACTCAAAGATTGTCTGTTCTTACGACAAAAATGGAGGCAAATGACAAAAAAATACAGGTCTGTATTTCAGAGGCCTAGAAATGTTCAGTTTCCAAAATTAATATGAAGGGGGGCACATTCATCACACTTGCCCCCGCGGGGTGAAGCGTGACCAGGTGCTTTACCGGGCACAGCACCCAGATGGTGGTGTCTGATGGGGGGTGCAGCGAGGGCGGGGAGGAGAGGCAGAAACAGCTCCTTTTGTGGCTGGGCTCACTGTCTGGACGTGACCATTCTCCAGCAGTCCAGCTGCTGGTGTCAGGGGTGTTTGTTCACATGCTGAAGGGGTTTTGCTGGGTTGGGCTGTGTTGTGTGAAACCTCTCAGAAAGCAACCGCTACTTCAAACTGCTTAGTAAAAGGCTCTTCCCTAAAACCCTAAACCGCATCTCCTCAGCCCCTCTCCTGGTGCCCCTCACCAGCTTGCCCAGCCATTACCACAGAGGCACTTCTGGTGTTTTAGAAACAGGAATTTTTCCCAAATAATATCCCTGGGAACAAATAGGGAAAAGGAATTTAAATCATTGAAGAAACGAATAGATTGATATTCCTCAGCCGTGCCCGGCTGTCAAAAGCTTGGGGATTACGTTATGAAGGGTGATTTGGGAGAAACGCGTCGATTATATTGAGAATTCTGCCTGTTTTACACTGGGTATTTTTTGGTCTCTATGGACATGAACATAAATGGAATCAATTTCCTGTTTAATTCCTTAATGGTGAGAGACAAGTATTTTCTATGATCTTGAAGTAGTAAGAAGATATTAAGTTCACTTTAACCCCTTTTTTATCTCAGTTATTTCTTCCTGGGTAAAAATCGTCCTCTGTTCTCACATAAAATGGACATGTGAGCTACAGAAAGTAAAGAGCAACCTCGTTTTTCAGTCATGTAACTACTAGACCAAAGTTCCGTTTGGCCTTTCAGGTAAATTGGATGCATCTTAACATCTTCCGTCATGGAACAGGAAGTGTGTTTCTCTCTCATCCACAGATTTTGACACACACATGTTTAAGTAATTCCTGTTTTTATGCTGTACACCAAAGCCAAAAAGAATTCAAGAACTAATTCGCTATTTTCCTGGCAGAAGCACTTGGTTATATGGGAACTTTCATTTGGTTGTAGGGCATTTGGTGGAGGGAAAACATTTGTGGGCCAAAACACATAGGCATTTTTTAAAATGCTAATATTTCAGGAAGTGGGATTTTTTAGCAATTACTTCACCCTATTAGCTGACCATATTTCCCACTTTCCTTTAATGAGAAAGTATTAATGTTAGAATGGGGGAGACCACACTTTGTGGAAAAAAGGGAAAGAAAAGCCCTTTTAGCCAAGCTGCTGTCAAAATCCAGATCAAACAATTCTCCAGTAAGACAGGTCTCACCCCAGAGAGAAGGTGGCTATGCAGCAGTGAGCCCTGTGTGTTTGGAGACGGTCGCTGTGCTAAATCAGTCCTTTCACTGTCTTCTACTCCATCTAAGTGGTGTGGCTCTGAGTCCCGATCACAACCTCCGGTCTCAGTTCCGGAGAATAGCAGTCCCGGACGGTCTGCGCTGACACTGGTCAGCTCTGGCAAGAGAGGCTTGAAAGCCTTTTAGAGAGTGTGCCGTGCCAGGTCAGCAAAACACTTCGTTTCAACAGACCTGTTTCGGTTTAGTTTTAAAGTAAGACATTGATTACATTTACTGATTTTCAAGATCTGCTCAAAAAATTTTTTTATCAAGTGCAGAATGTAAAAACCATTAGGCCGGAAACATTTATTCTCTAAAGCTGGGATCTGGGTTTTTTCACTTTGTCGGGGGCAGCGGGGCTTTTTAGTTCTGATACACATCCTCTAGACAAGCCACCTACTAACATTGTATTAAAATTTTGCGCTTTTCATACATGTAATTAGTTCCATTACATTTGAAGTTTTGTATAATGTTACATTGGTTCTAGAAGAGTTGAAATGTATACTGTTTTCAGAACTTGGAGAAACAGCTGAGGCTGAACAACAAAGCCTTTACCCGGCAGCTGGCCAGCGAGAGCCAGAAAACCTTAGCAGCTCACGCAGCTACGAACGCTCTGCAGCTGGAGGTCAAGCGCCTGCAGCAGGAACTTAAGGTACTTCTTCCAAAGCAAAATGTCACAGAATTTCTGAAACTCTGCTTCCCAAAATATCAGAGCTATTTATGCCTAATATAAATTGTAATTACTTGACTTTAGGAATATGTTTCTCAAATTAACTTTTTTCCCTACAATCATGTGAACAGATAGAGGATCTGAAATTATTAGAATGAGTTAACAGCCTAGTGAGTATGTACTGTAATTAGAAAAATTAAAGCTCTAATCTATCATTAAAAAGACTTATAATTTTATGTCATCACATGAAGTAATATTACTGGTTTTTGTTAACACTTTAGTGGAAACCCAAATAAGTTTTTCAATTAAAAAATTAACATTATTAAAATAGAGTAATTTTAGAGGCCCATAAATTCATTTTATTTATTTATTTATTTATTTTTAATCGAAGTATAGTTGATTTACAGTACTGTGTTAGTTTCAGGTATACAGCAAAGTGATTCAGTTATTTTTTTCAGGTTATTTTCCATTATAGGTTATTACAAGATATTGAATGCTGTTCTCAGTGTTATACAGTAAACCCTTTTAGCATATCTATTTTATATATACATAAATTCATTTTACAGTCTCACTTGCCAATATGCTTGCAAAACTGTCTTTTAAAGTGTGCCCTAACTTGGAGGGTATCATGCTAAGTGAAATAAGTCAAATAAGAAAAAGACAAATGCTGTATGAGGTCACTTATATGTGGGATCTGAAAGATACAGCAAACCAGTGCACGTAACAAAAAAGACACAGAATCACAGATACAGGGAATAAACTGGTGGTTACCAGTGGGGGGGGGCAGTCTAGGGGAGTAGGAGGTTCAAACTCTTAGGTATAAAATAAGCTACAAGGATGTATTGTACAACTCGGGGGATATAGCCAGTATTTGATAATAACTATAAATGCAGTATAACCTTTAAAAATTATGAATCGCTGTATTATACACTTGTAATTTACATATTGCACAGCAACTATACTTCAATATTTTAACAGTGTGCTCTAAAAAATCAGAATTAAAAATATTTACTTTTTCAGAGTTTTGCTCTTTCTGCCTTGAAGACTTCTAAAGTATTTGACAAGTTAGAAAAGCTAGCTAAGATACTTAAGAAACAGGTCTTTTCAGCCTCAACTAGTAAATCTTAAGCTCAATTCTTTAAAACAAGAATCTTTAACTTTTACGACACGTAGGGAATTCAGATTTCCTGGGAGCCATGAGAGCACGGAGAGGCAGGGGAAGGATATTAGGGGAGAAAGCTGGATGTAAGCTCTCCCTCGTAAAGCAGGGAGAGAGTCCTGTGCCTTTCTTCTCTGGAGCCTCAGGATAACTTCAGAGAGAATATGCCAGAAAATGGGCGTGGCCATAACCACCAGCTTAGAAATCCAACAGGAGAGGCTTCAAGATCCACTGGTCGAGGCAGACACACACACACACACACACACACACACACACACACACACACGGAGACACAACCAGGGAATTTTAAAATAAATTTGTACTTTCATATGCAGCCATATGCACATAAATACTATGCAGTCATTAAAAAACAATTTTGACAGGAAAAAAGCTTAATGATTGATAAAATATTTAATGAAAAGAAAGATCCAAAGTTTATTTTAAAAAAGAAAAGTAAATATACCTCCACACAATGGATTTCTGTGCATCTGTAAAAAGGAATGAGGACTCTTTACATTGTAATATGAGTAATTGCCAGGATACATTGATAAATGAAAAAGGCAGGCAGAGGAGAGTGCAGCATGCCAGCATGTAAGTAAAGGAGACAGAACAAATACATCCACATATTTGCTTATAATTAGAAAAACCCGTAGTAGGGTGACAACGGAAGTGGGGAGAGAGCAGTAAGTAGAAGGGACAGCTGTAGAACCTAGGTTTCCTCGAATATATTTTTGGTAGATTTGACTTTGGAACCATGTAAATGTTTTGCCTAATTATGAAGCAGAATGAAATGTAAAAAAAATTGGAAATCATTCCCTAAAAATCCAAAGTAAAATGAAAGAAAAAAATGAACCCACTGCATTTTCCGGTGTTGGCATAATGTCGCAGAGAGACACCATTCCAGGCGACCTAAAGCACGTTAATTTCACTGCATGTGCCTAGTGACACACACTCCTGCTGACAGTGAGGGAATGGTGATTTTGAGACTGTCGTGTATATCTTAGGAGATAAACCACATGGTGAACTATGTTCATGTCATTGAGAACTAGGATTTGGGGATGGAAGAAAGAAAATACAGAAGTCAGATAAGGTCAAACAGTAGACCTGGTTGTGAATTTAAATGAAAGTAAGAATTTATGACATTCTATCTTTAAAAATAAGTACATATTTCCTAATGCGACCAACTCATTTAGCAATGAATACCCCTAGTGCAAGCTTGGTCTTCAAAATCCATAACCCACTAAAAAGAACTGAGTCACCTTAAAAAAAAAATTCTAGGTCTGGAGCATGAAAGACATACTATGTGAGCCTGGGACACACTGTCCTACAAAAAAGCAAGGAAAGTGTAAGAACTATCAGGGGAATGTCAGAGAGACTCCGGAGCCATCAGTCTGGAATAGGTTCCTACTGGCCAGAGATGAGGTGGTTTGAGGACTGATAAAGGGAACTATGTGGACAGAAACTTATCAAATGTATAGAAATCAAAAAGTTCACAGGGCTGCTTACAAAACAGAACACCTCAGTGATTAGTCATCTTGAGTATACTAGGGAACCAGCACACTATTTCAAAAACTGGTAAATAAAGGAAAGGAAACAATCACTTTCACCTTTCCCATACTCGGAGTAATCAAATAGTTTGTGAGGAGGGAAGATCCTCTTTGTAAAGGCATTCTGATCAATAATGTCAAAGGAATGATAGGATGACAATATCACTATTTTGGAGCTTTTAATGAGTTAGTGAATCTAAGCAATGATCGTCACAAAAGGGAAACCATCTGACGCTGTGCACTTCCTGACTCCTGTACACACCTCCACCCAGGGAGTGTTCCTGCCAAAAAAACCTATACCTTGATTGATTAAACATTTAGATCTAACGACCAATTTAAAAGAAATACAGGGGACAGGGGAACATGATAAATAACACCTCAGGGACACAATCAACATCACACTGTGGGAAACTCTACAGCACAAACAACCCAGTTTCCACAACAAATAAATAGCAAAGTGAAACAAACAAAAGAGATGATGGTGGGAACTTACAGAAAAGAGACCATGATGGAAAACTCAACAATGGAAAAACAAATGACCCAATTCAAAAATGAAAAAATTACTGAAATAGACATTTCCCCAAAGAAGGTAGACAAATGATCAACTAGCACATGAAAAGATGCTCAAGTGTTTATTAGGGAAACACAAATCAAAACCACCATGAGGATGGCTACTATCAAAAACAAGTGCTGGCCTATTTACAATAGCCAAGACAGGGAAACAACCTAAATGTCCATCAACAGATGACTGGATAAAGTTGTGGTGTCTATATATATATTTATACATACATACATACATACACACACACATATACACACAATGGAATACTACTCAGCCATAAGAAAGACTGGAATAATGCCATTTGCAGCAACATGGATGGACCTGGAGATCGTCATTCTAAGTGAAATAAGCCAGAGGGGAGGGAATAGCTCAAGTAGAGTGCATGCTTAGCATGCCCGAGGTCCTGCGTTCAATCCCCAGTACATCCTCTAAAAATAAATAAACCTAACTAACCCCCCACCTCCACCAAAAATGAAAATAATTAAATAATGCAATTACAAATAAAATATCTTTTTAAGATACATTAAAAAAAATACATGGAAGAAAAATAAGACACCCAGGGAGTGTGTTACACAAAGTAATTTAAAACCATCCATTGTGACACTTCCTCTGACTCAGTTGTTGAACTCAGGCCTCTCACCGATCGTCCCTCCTGCGTTCAGGATATACTCCTACCTCCCACCAGTCCTGTCTCATCTGGAAGGATGAGACTGCCTTTCATGCTTCATCGTCACCTCTAGGGCCGACCCAAGGGAAAGAGGAGTAGAAACTTTAAGGATGTTTTAGACTCCTGACTATTCCAGAGATTTGAGCCTAAGGGGACACAGAACCCCATTCAATTTAAAAATACAGCAGACTAGTGAATAAAACAAAACAGACCGCAGATTCACAGATCTAGAGAGCAAACAGTGGGGAGAGGGGAGGGGGGAGGATGGGGTGGGGATTAAGAAGTCCAAACTATTATGTATAAAATAAGCTACAAAGATATATTGTACAGCACAGGGAATACAGCCAATATTTTATAGTAACTATTCATGGAGTATGACCTTTAAAAATTGTAAATCACTATATTGTTCACCTGTAACTTGTATAATATTGTACATCAACTATACTTCAATTTAAAAAACAAAAGAAACACCTTTTTTTCCCTCAACAAACTAGGATTTCAAACTTTCTGTTTTGCCAAGACTTTAAAAGGTCAGCACTGAGATTTAAAGCTGAACAACAATATCTTTGTTGCAGGCTGCGCCCCTGGCACTCGCTGTGTAAACGCAGCCCATCTAACAGAATTAATTTTGTGTGAGGAAACTGTTCGGTCCCACAGTTCAACACTGTGGTCCCCACTCACATGCAGCAACTGAGGGCTTGAAATATGGGTCGTATGACTGAGGACTGAATTTTTTTGTAATTAATTTAAATCACAGCGGGGTTTGTGGCCACCGTATTGGACCACACAGAACAAAAACTTCATGACACAGTCCCAGGGGACAGAAAAACTACAGTGAAACGAACTGGCTTGCAGAGTCTTCAGAAATGTTGTCCCCATCACAATGGTTTGTCACTGTTAAAAAGCTAGTACTTTCTGATGTCAGAAATGATATATAACAAAATGGCCCATTTCTCTTTCTGCTGTAATCTGTAGTTTTGCTCAAAGACCGCTGAACTCACCCTAAATCGTTTTTTACAAGAACTTCAGGTTGAGAAAAAGCAAACATTTATAGAAATGTTGGTACTGCGGTTCCCTTTAGGAGAAGGACCGAGAGCTGGAAATTAGAAACATCTATACTAATCGAATACTTAAAAATCTACATGACAAAGAAGATTATCCAAAAGGTAAGGTATGTTTTCATTGTGTTTGCTCAGAATCTATTTTGAAGTCTCTAGTCAGATTTTCCTAATTTATATCATCAAAATTTTTTTAATTTTTATTTTAAAAAAATCATTGTATTAGGCATTGAAACACATTTTGTGGTTCTAGAATAATGAAACCTAACATGGTTGAAACAGCTAGAGGAGAAGAGAGATGCTGTCTTCCCGTCCTCTGTCCTCTCTGTCCTTACTCAGGCAGGTTAGAGGATAACTTTTCGGCTTGAAGCAAAACGTCTGCCAGTTACTGACCTTTCTAAGTATGTCCCTTAGCCAGTGTGTGGATTTTTAAAGTTACCTTTATTTCAGTACAATTTACCTCAATAAAATGCACGCATTTTAAGCGTGCAGTTCTGTAGGTTCTGACGAGCGCGTGTACCCACGTAACCACCACCCCGCCAAGATGCAGAACATCCCATCTCCTCAGAAGGCCCCCTCCTGCCCTGGCAGTCCGCGGTCCCCCGTCCCCGGCCTGCGGCCACCTCTGGTTTCCCTTGGGTCAGAATAGCTTAGTTTGCCTGTTGTGGAATTTCCTGCGCGGCCTCATGCAGCAGGTCCTCTCTTGTGCCCGGCTGCTTTTGTTCAGCATGATGTTTTTAAGATTCATCCATGTTGCGCCATGTGGTTAGTTTGCACCTTTTTATTGCTGAGCAGTATTTTTTCCTTCAGGACAAGACATCCTTATCTTCCCCTCCAGATCTCCCAGCCTAAGATCCTGCTCAGAAGACGTTCAGTAGGAACACTCCCCTCTCATTCTGCTAGAAGTAACGACATGTTTACTTTTAAAGGCTGTGACCTCAGATTTCCTGGCCTGCCTTCCCTTGTTCCCTTCTGGCTCATAGACCAGAGTGACAGCCAGCAGAGAGGACGCTGAAATCAAGCAGGGGGTCATTTAAATGGAATAACACTTCCAGGAAAGTGACTGCTGGATTCAGTGGTCATGCCCTTTGGCGTGGGCAGCGCAGCCATCAATGGCCAAGAACTCTGGCACAGGAGACCGTGGTGGCTCACCCTCTTACCATTGCATGTCTACAGTTTTGGGTTTTGGTTTTCGGTGTTTTTTGTTAATGGAGGCACTGGGGATTGAGCCCAGGACCCTGTGCATGCCGAGCACGGGCTCTCCCCCGAGCTATACCCTCCCCCCGCCTGTCTGCAGCTTTGAATCCCTTCTGCAAGCAGGGAAGCCGTGTCTCCCAACAGCAGCGCTGACCCAGGCTAACTCCTGCTTGTTCGGTGCTCTCTGCCTGGGAACCCAGAACCCTTGTGGTCCCAAATGAGACAAAACAGGGGAAACAGGAGGTGAGAAAGTGAAACTGGCAAATGTTATTAATTTACTGAAAACCTTTAGAAAATATCTAGTACATTTTGTTTTATTATCACATCACAAACTTCTATGTTATTTTATACGTAAAATCAGTATTGCTTCCAAATGTAAAATATGTTTCTTACACATGATTTACCTGTTCTGTAGTTTCTTCAACAAAGTCAGTACAAGCAGACAGGAGAAGTTTTTCCTTTACAAGTGTAAGACACCAGGAAACCCAAAAATCAGAAGATGTTCCATCTCTGGCAACTAAGGTACAGCAAATTTGAATTCTTGCAATGTCTAATTAAACATTTCTTTACAAAAATAGTCTATGATCACTTGCTCTATACAAAAGATATTTCGTATTCATTGAATAAAACACAATGTAAAACTATCTGTACCCCCAAAATGTGTTTTTGCCGCTTTTCTAAATTACAGGGTAAAAAGACAACAGGAAACATTGGGCGTAAAGAAAAACCGACTGAAATAATCTACGCACTTTCTCACTGTATCAGCAAATTCCCAAACCAAGAGGATTCCAAGAGAAAACAAGAAGGTAATTTTAACAGCTCTTTAAGTCTCTTTACTCTTTTTTTTAATTGAAGTAGAGTCGATTTGTCTCCTTTACGCTTCATTTATTTTTTTAATTGTGAATTACTGTGTGTGTATAAAAGTACACATAAAAGAGAGATCTTCCATTTAAAGAACCGTTGTAAAATGAACACCTGTGAAGCCACTTCCTTGCTTAAGCAGCAGAACGTGGGTGTCCCCTGGGACAGCCCGTGGGCCCCTCGTGACCACAACCCTCCCCTGCCCCCCAGAAGCACCACCCTCTTCAGTTTGATGCCAGTCGTCCCTTGCTTTCCTCACCCTCCCTGTCCTGCGCGGACCCTTCAACAACGTGTTCAGTTCTGAAAAACTGAGTCACAAACCCAACCCCCGCTGAGCCAAGGGCAGCGCTACCCCTCACGGAGACTAGCGAAGCGTCCAGAGAAGGCAGGCTGGACGGAGGCTGGCTGCAGCTTCCCGAAGGCCCGGGGCACAGCCAGAGCCCTGGTCACAGGTCCTGGGAGCCGGGTGGCCTCAGGGCTGCTCTGCAGGTGCAGGGAGAGTCCCGGGTGGGCTGCTCGGTTCTTCTTGTGCTCAGATTCCAGAGCTGATGTCCAGCTCTCAGGAGTCTGTCAGAGCCGAGCATTCCTGGGGGGCGAAACCAGGGTCCTCGGCCAACCCAGACTGCCCGGACCAGAGGGTGGGGACACCTCCGCCAGGCCCTGGTCAGGGTGGACCCAGGACGCTGGAGGCTGGAGGGTCAGCCCTTAATGCTTAAGCCCCTTGGCCTCCGGCCTGTGCCCCAGAGGATGGGGCCTCCCTTCACCTTTCCCGCTGGCGCCTGGCGCCCCTTCTCCACTGGGCCTTCTGTTTCCTCCGCCAAATCCTCCCCTTCCTTGGTTAACACCATCACATCCTGCCAGCACAACCTCTGCTTGCTCCCTGAGAATGGATGCGTGCGAGGTAAATCTGTGTGCCTTTCATCCCGAGGTGTCATTATCCGACCCTAGACTTGACTAATAATTGACTAGAAGGAAAATTCCGGGTTGGAGATCATTTTCCCTCAGAATTTTGAAGATCCTGCCCCGTTGTTTTCACGTTAACATACTGCTCAAGGGAAATCGGGTGAAACTGCACACGGCTGGGCAGGCACAACCTCCCTGGAGAGAGCAGTCACTGGGAACAGCTCCCCAGGTTCCCCCGGAGCCGCGGGGAGAGGCCTCAGTACAGGCCAGGAGCGGCCACACCTGAGCTGTGCGGTGTGGCCTTAGAATGAAGTTTAATTAACACCCCGGGCCGGCAGAACCCACCCGGAAAGCCACGCCACCCGGTGCAGGTCCTTCTATAGTCGCCGGTCCATTGACGTTTTCCACCTATTTTTTTGTCCTTTTGGTACTTCATATTGTCCTAGGAAGTTGAGCCACTCACTCGACAACTATTTTCTGAGCATATGCTGTGTGTCAGGCTCTGATCCAGGCACTGGGGGGCGGGGCCAGAGGAGAGGGCAACTTGCCCGCCCTGGGTGCGCGTGTCCCGGGGCGGGAAGACGTGCGGGATGTCTAGGTGAGCGGGTGGCAGGCGCTGCAAAGACGGTCCAGACAGAAGGAGGTGGGGAGGGGGCCGTGGTGGGGAGATGAGGGTGTCGATGGCGCCTCAGTAGGACTCGCAAGGAGGGAGGAAGTGACCCACGGGGTCACCCGAGACGAGCACTCCAGGCAGAACGCCCCGCAGATGCCCAGGGAAGGGGGAGAGATCACGCAAATTTTATGAATGCCATTTTTCTCTTGTTTCATGATTCTCATTTATTCGATGTGTGAATAAATTCACATGACAGCACCCTCCCCTGTATTCTAGTGTCAGATGCATGTGTTTTCTTTCCTTTTTGTCATTTTAACGTGCCTGACCGGAGATGTAGCTCAGTGTGCTAAGTATCCATCTTGCAGTAGAAACCCATCACTCTTCAAGATCACTCAGCTGACTGCCTTTCTAACACAGACTTATCCCAGGACGGGGGGCGTCCGGAAGCAGAGCCGTCTCCGGAGAACGCTGGACCGCAGAGAGAGAGAGTGGCCGATCCAGACAGGAAACCCACGTTACTGAAGGACCAGGAACTGCCACCGAAAGGAGCTCAGGTGGCCCATCCCGAGGGGGAAGGCGGCCAGGAGGACGAGCCAGGAAGAGAAGAGTTTAGACGAAGTCCGGAAGTCAACGACATGGGCGACGAGCCGCATAAAAACGCCGCTCCAAGTGTCAAGACACCCTTCA